GTGTGTGTGTGTGTGTGTGTGTGTGTGTGTGTAACAGTGAGTACTAGGGTTAAACTCAGCCTTGAGCTTTCAAGGCAGACACTCTACCACTTGAGCCACACCTGCAGCCCTTAATTCTTATTTTTCTTGTTCATTTACCACCTTCTTTGTTTTACAGTGCTTGGGACTGAACCCATGACCCTACCCATACTAGGCAAGCATTCTATCACAGAGCCACATTCTCAGCCCTAGCTTCTTCCTTTGTAATGATGAACATCTATGAACATAATTCAGCTTCTACCCCATGTGATCTCAGTTGTACACTTCTGTGGGCAGTCATGAGCCTAACATGTTTAAAAATGTCTAAAAGCCGGGCTCCGTGGCTCACGCCTGCAATCCCAGCTACTCAGGAGGCAAAGATCAGGAGAATCAAGGTTCCAATCCAGACCAGGGTAAATAGTTCATGAGACCCTATCTCGAAAAAAACCTACCACAAAAACTTGGGCTGGTGGAGTGGTTCAAGGTGAAGGCCCTGAGTTCAAGCCCCAGTACCACAAAAAAAAAAAAAAAAAAAAAGTCTAGAAGGAAATATACTAATGCTGTCTTGGATAATGGTATTCTAGACACTGCTTTCCAGTGTTTTTTTAAATTATAAGCATGTGTTACTTTTGTAATATAAAACATGCATTTTTTTTTAGACACTAATAGTACTGCCTGTTATCCAAGCACAAACAGAAACTTCATCTGACTTTCCGAAATTCAGTCAACAACACACTCACAGGTACACACTCCTTCCCTCACACACACATACAACTTCCATACACATACAGCCCTGCTCCTGCAAACATGCTCCCAGACATATCACCACACACCCAACTCACACAGCCCATTCATATTCACATGCTTACTCAAATCCAAGGATAGGAAAGGAGAAAAGGACAATGGAGCAGCTAAAGACATAGCTCAATGACAGCCAGGAGAGGTACAGGGATGAGAAGGAGGGAAAGCTGTGCATGTCACCATTCCCTTTGGCAGTCTCCAAGTGCTGCCAAGGACAGGCAATGATCACCAAGGTGAATTAAAAGCACTAAGGCTCCAACTGGAAGGGTTTTCTGGAAAGATCAGTGGCTGTTACGAGTTAAATGCTTGAGTGACCGTAAAAGTAAAACATGAGTATATGCTTCCTGATTCCTTTTCAAAAGCAAAACGAATAGGGGACCAATCCTTTCTCACGACTCTCAGAATTTATTCCTTATCTCCATCTCTGTAGTGATGGGTTAGTGTGACTACCTCAGTTCTCCCAGGGTAAAGCTTCATGTCAGTGAGAACTCTCCAGACATACTGAGCCTTGAACCTGACCTTGAACTCCCACTCCATGCTGACTGCTTGGGTACATCTCACTACAAATTTCTGCTTCAAGAAGGTAAGACCAGAAATCTCCATCCACTGTGATCCCTTCCTCCTTTCACCTTTGGATTGCTGTGAACATAACACAGGGTTACATGACACCACGCCTGATCTACCACCAGGTGAGGTAATGAGAACCGCACACACCTTGACACTGCAGGAGAAAGAAGGACACGCCAGCCGTCTGTATGATAAGTAGGAGCTGCTCCTATTAAAAATTCAAATAATCCACTTAAATAATTTAAAATGCTACCTTAACAAACAGGTTACATAAAAGATACTGGATATGACATCTCTGAAAATTAGACAAAAATCAAGATGATCTAGTTCCTATCATCAAGGACAGTAATGTGACTGGCCTGAGTCTCTCATGTGCTCAGTATGTTGAAATCTCAAGGTGGAAAGTACAAAAATTTACAGTCTCTATTGCTGTTATCAGCTTCTCTGAACTGTCCTTTGGGATTCTGAAAAATCACGAATGCTTAAAAAAGAACCTTTATCTTTTAGAGATATGTGCTGAAACATTTACAGATGAAATCATATAATGTCAGGAATGTGCTTTAAAACTACAGGGAAGGTGCTGGGTGTGGTAGTACACACCTGTAATCCCAAAACTCAGATGGCTGAGGCAGGAAGATCACAAGTTGGAGGCCAGCCTAGGCTACATAGTGAGTACTAGGTCAGTCTGGGCTACATAGTGAGTGAGACCCTGTTTCAAAAATAAATTATGAGAGAGAAGAGGAATGTTTACAGATGAACTGTTAAGCAACATCACTGAAACAATTGAGACTGAGCAATAGCTCCAAGGAGATCACTAGACCACTCTGTTCTGCATATGTCAAAGACTTCATTTTAGAAGTTTTAAAATATTCATCATGGGAGGAATTTTTTTTTTTTAAATTACTCCACTATCAGCGAATCTTTCTTCTCTTTGCTCCTCTACAATATATTCTGACATGGCACTGGAAAATAGCAAGCCTGAGTCATAATAAAGGCTACCAAAGCTGCCACAGGCATAAAAATCAACCTTTCATTATCCTGAAAATTATCTGCTCCAAAATAGTAACTAAGACAGCTCAAAGAAGTCAAGAGCTCTCCCTAACCATCCCAGCGTGCTAGTCAAGTGCAGGTGTCTATATCAGCCTAGCACTGCTTCTTCTTGAGCTGCTTAAGAGCAGACAGAGGAGCCTTGTCCCCCGCCCCCCATACACCCAACCCACCCAAAGTGCAAATTCCACCAGGAACTATCAGAACAAAGATGTCTAACCCATTTCTATTTTGTGATTTCAAGAAAGCTTAGTCCCAAACAGCAATCCAGTTTTCCCCATCATTGTCAACTGAGAAGGTCATGACAAAAGATGTTTCTCAAATAAAGAGAATTTTATGGAATTCATGAAGTTGAAACTTGGTAGGAATGTTCTGAACCACAACTAAAAAGAGTCATCTACAAGTGAAGAGTAGGGCTTTGGGAAAGCTATTTAACCTTTCTAGGTTTCCAGTTTCTTATTTATAAAGTGGAGATTAATCCTGTTCGCCTAGTTGCTACCTGAGAGAATAGCAGCAATGATCCCGTGAAAATGTAATGAGCACAGTCAGGTTACGGGGGGGGGGAAAAGCAAATGCAGTACTGGCCTGACAGATCTGACTGGGATAACGAGGCAAGAAGAACCATCCCACTAGTAAACAACCAGCAAGAACACTCAAGGACTCTCCAGCCCAGGGGCAAGAAGGAAAAGTATTAAGAGAACCCAAACCAAGCCAGGTGCTTGTGCCTGTAATCCTAGCTACTCAGGAGGCAGAGATTAGGAGGATCAAGGTTCAAGGCCAGCCTGAACAAAAAAGCAAGACCCTATTTCAAAAATACCCAGCATAAAAAAGGCCTAGCGGAGTCGCTCAAGTGGTAGAGCAGGTACCTGACAATCAAGTGTGAGGTCCTGAGTTCAAACCCCAGTACTGTCCAAAAGAAAAAAAAAAAACAATCCAGATCAGCAACCACAATCCAGGCTAACCACACAGGAAATCATTAGGCACATGTATCTGTGCTCATTAGACCCACCCCAACAATGTGTTCCCATCCAGAGCTAAGCATGTAGTATGCACAACATTGACAGAATGCTGCTGAAAAGCTGCAGGCACCGGCACATATCCTCTTAGGCGTAAACTCAGAAGCCCTTAGTTTTTAGAACTTAACTGCCCAATGAATGCTGTAAATACTCGGAGGGCACATGGGTCCTGTGTAAGGATTCTTCAAGTCATGACTGACACCCTAAATAGCAGTGTGTCAATTTTATTTCATTTTTTTATTTTATTTATTTATTTTTTTTCAGACAAGGGCTCCCTATGTAGCCTAGGTTGGACTTGAACTTGCAATCCTCCTGTCTCACTCTCCCCAGTGCTGGGATTACAGGAATGTACCACCACACCCAGCTTATTTTTGCCTCTTTTCTTAATGTTCTCTTGGCTCAAACATGCATATGTACTTGAACACCCACATAACAAATGTTTGCATGTGTGAGAAATGAATAACAAATGAAAATTACCAAATCAGCACTTCAGAATTTCCTATCACTAAGTAAAATAATGAAAAGTAGCCAGACACCAATGGCTCACACCTGTAATCCTAGCTATTTGGGTGGCTGAGATCAGGAGGAGGATCGATGTTGGAGGCCACCCTGGACAAATAGTTTGTGAGATCCCATCTCCAAAATAACCAAAGCAAAAAATGGACTGGAAGCGGGGCACCGGTGGCTCACGCCTGTAATCCTAGCTACTCTGGAGGCAGAGGTCAGGAGGATCTTGGTTTGAAGCCAGACCCAAGCAAATAGTTCAGAAGACCCTATGTGGAAAATAACCAACACAAAAAAAGGGTTGGTGGTAGAATGCCTGCCTAGCAAGCCTGAGTCCCTGAGTTCAAATTCTAATCCCACCGAAAAAATAAAATACTGAAAAGTAAATATGGTAATCTAATTGGCATCTCCCAACTTACTTACAGAGCACACACAGCCCTGCTGTCATTTACACCTAAACTAGTAAATGCTGAGGACGAATGGAAGGACTGGGTCTTGGGGCCGGCTCCCCCGGCAGCTGCAGAAGATGCAGAAGATGCGTGGGCCTCTGCAAATACATCCTGCCTCTGTCACCCATCTAAGCCTCGCACCTCTCCTGCAACAGTGGGGGAGGCCCTTACGGAGTTCTGCTTGAGTTGGCAAATGCCATTGGGCTCGCAGGTTCATTCCTTTCCTTTCCCTTGCTCATGGGAAGTGCAGAAGTGAACATTTTTAATTACTAGTACTGTCTGAAGCGTCGTCTCCGGAACAACGAATTCTAATAGAATAAATGCCAAGCATGCACAGCGAAGTGAACGGGCTCAAAACAGGTGTCTACCAGTCTGGCCTCTTCAGTCCTAACTCAGGTGGCCCACAAGCAAGCACCGTCATCAGGCAACCGGGGGTGTCCTCACATTCGGTCTGGGAAAGACGCAGCAGGTGTGGCGCTGGAGAAGGTGAGACCTGATTTCCCGGGACCACACCTCCCCATGAGAGGGAAGGGGGCTTCCGCCAAACCACCCGAAACCAGGCGACCCCTCACTCCACTCTCACCAGTTCACTACCTACCTGCTCCGCCCCGTAGGCCGTGGCGAACTGGATGAAGTCCTCCATGCGGACGAAGCCGTCCCCATCCCGGTCTAGAGCGTCAAACACGGCCCGGAGACGCGAGCCGTCCTCCTGGCCGGCCTCGGGCTCGCTGGGCAGCGGCCGTGCGGGGCTGGGGTCCGAGGGCAGCGCGGCGCTCCTTGGGCTCGCCCGCAGCTGCTCTCCCAGCACGCTGGAGTACGCGGGGGACAGGCCACCCGCAGGGTCGCAAACCGCGGGTTCCTCGGGCCAGCAGCACGGCTCCTCCTGCCAGCCACACAGTGCGTCGTCGGGCTCTTCGGGCCACCGGCGCGGCGCATCCGACGCCTCTAACCAGCCGCACCGTGTGTGGGGCGCTTCCGGCCATCGGCGCGGCGCATTCGGCTCCTCAGGCTCCCGGGGCCAGGCGCACGGCGAGTCGGGCGCTCCCGGCCAGCGGCGCGGCGCGATGGGCTCCTGGAGCTCCAAGACCCCGCGCTGGGCCCTGGGCGCCGGCTCGTCGAGGCCCGACGGAGAAGCCGGCTGGCCCAGCTCCATACTCCGGCGCCGGCCGATAGCTAGGGGTGCGGCGGGCGGCGCGGGCGACAGACAAAGGCGCTCAGGGCGCGGCGGCGGGCGCGGGCATCCCCGCGGCGGCGCGAGCGGGCGCGCGCGGGGCGCCCGGGCTGCTCGGGCTGGCGCTCGGGCCCTGCTCCGCCCTCGCCCATCTTCTCGCCGCGCCTCAGCGGCCCCCGGCCCGGCGGCGCGGCGGGCGCGGGCCCATGGCAGCGGCGCGGCTCGGAGGGCTCGAGGGCCGAGGAGCGGGCGTGGAGCGGAGGATGAGGAGAGAGAGCCGGTGCCGAAGCCCGAACCAGCGTCGCAGGCGCCGGCCCGCCCTCCGTAGCGCCTGACGTCAGCACGTCGCGGCGCGGTAGGCCACGCCCCCCCCAGCTGGTATAAAAGCGGGCTCCTTCCCTTGCAGAGCCGGGTTATCGCTCTCAAGCCGCGCGGGCTGCCGTTTCGTGCTAGCCAGTGTGACTTGCTATAGCGCGGAGAGCCACGCGAGAACTGCCCTGCGAGTGGACATGTCAGCAACCCATCCACGGTGTGGATGAGTCAACTGCAGCTAGGGGAGAGCGGGAAACGCAAGCATGCCCATATCCTAAAGGAGCTGCTAAGTCCCTCCTGTGTGACGACCTCAATAACTGATAGCTGAAAACAGAATTCTAATGGGCCAGGAGAAGTGCAACGCCTGGCTCCCAGGTAGGTGCGGAGGAGCACTGCCTTGTGGCACGGAAACCTTCGGCCGTGCACCAGTGGACAATTTGCCCCAGGTCAGGCGAGCGGAGGGCAGAGGCAGGACCTGACCTGCCAGTCAGCTTCCCGAGTGTGAGGAGGCCCCCAAAGCGCTGCCTATCTTACTTGCATCCTCAGGAAAGAGGCGTTTCCGTTAAGACTAAAGCACAGGTTTTGCCAGTCTGCGGTCAACCTCCCAAGAAGCACTGCAGCTGACGTTGGCAACTGGCCTTTCCCCGTAGTGTCCCAGTCATCAGAGAGTCACGGTTGGGCATGGCCCGGGCCAGTTGGGAGCAGGTGAGCCTCGTCCAGGCAAGAAGCTAAATTTAGCCTCAGGGAAAAGTATGAACTATATTTTTCAGCGCCAGGTAGGTTTCATAAGCAGCTTTGGCAAGAGCCAGGGGAACTGAACTCTGCTTCTAAGTGTACAGCCAAGGAGCCGTTAACCCACTGAGTCATCTCCCATGGCAAAATTCCCAGCACATAGCAAGGCTTTGTGAGGCTGGCTTTGGGAAAATAAAGGTGAGCGATTTCCTCCCCAAACTATAGATCTCATTGTCTTATGCGACCATGTTTTCATGAGGAAGGTGTTGCATTCAAAGAAAAAAATCACTTCCAGAGCTAATGCCTTTGGCTTGGTACTCTTCTCAGAGTTAGAGTGTCAGCCTTCTAAATAGGGGTATCAACGTAAGGCCAGAGGATTGCTCTGCCCTTAGGTGCTCTCAGTAAGGCTGACTTTCTGAGGGATGTTCCTGCTACATGCTGATGCTAGGGAAATATTTATTGTTTACCTGGTTTATGTGCCCAAATAGAGAACATATACCTTCCTGCTTAGGCCAGTTAAAAGGACCTTTTATGAAAGATTAAAAGCAACAAGCTAGCACAGCACCAGTGGTTTACACCTATAATCAGGTAGTTCAAGGCCAGCCCAGGCAAATAGTTTGTGAGACCCCCATCTCCAAAATACCATGGCAAAAAATGGACTGGAGGTGTGACTTAAGTGGTAGAGTGCCTCCCAAGTAGCTGGGATTACAGGACCAAAAGTCCTGAGTTCAAAACCCAGTCCCACCCCCCCCAAAAAAAGTGACAAGCCAGGCATGGTGACACATGCATATAATCCCAATACTTGTGCCAGAGGATCACAAGTTCCAGTCCAGGCCAGCCCAAACTACCTAGAGCCCATCCAAAATAAATAAATAAACAAATAACTCAATAAATAAATGATTGAAAGTGAGAGGTCCCAAGTCATTGATCAGCTATTTGATTTGGTTCATCCCTTTTGTGGTCTGTGGCAGTTTTTGGTCTGAAATACTCCAAATGAAATGAGCCAGCTGCGTAGGAAGCAGCCCCTGCTGTCTGCTGCCACTGTCACTGTGTTTCTTCACACCCACCTGTATGCTCACATACACACACACACACACACACACGCGCGCACACACACACATTGGGGATCAAATTCAGGGCCTCATACTTGCTAGACAATACTCTGCCTGTTGAGCCATGCTCCCACTCCTTTTGCTTTCAGTTTGTTTTTGAGATAAGGTCTCTGAACAACAATCCTCCTATCTCCACCTTGTGTGGCTGGGATTACGGACATGCACTACTACATCCAGCTCATTTTTAACTTAAGGGGTAAAGTAAGCAGAAGAAAAGGAGGAAGAGTGGGATGTGACTCATATTTGCATGTTTGGGGTGGAGATGTCTGCAAAAACCTCCCTCTGAATTTCTCTTGAAGTGTGAGTAGATAAATACCTTTCTTTGGAACTCATGTAAGTAAGTGGGTCTCCTTGGTCCCCTTCCTGGGGACCTTTAACCTGTGGAGGAAGACAGAAGATAAAGACTAGCTCATGACTCAGCAGATTACTGACATGTAGCACAGCACCATGTGGCCAGCCAGAGGGCAGAGAAGTGGGTCAGGAAACCTCAGACTGCAAGGTGAGGGATGTGCCTGTCTCCCCTGGGTGGGGTCTGTTTACCACCTGAGTGCCCTGGGGTCAGGGTGGGACAGGCAAGGTTGATTTCCACAATGTACATTTGTACAAACTGGAGGAAATATACCAAAATTAAAGTGTGATTGTAGTTTGTGGCATATGACTTTCCCCCTGTTGCTAGTGCACAAACAAAACAGCATCTCACCTTTGTCTTCTTTGCACTTGACTGAATGCTACTGTGGTGAGTGTGTCTTACTGTATTTATTGGCATCTGTGCGCCCACCTCTGTGAACTGTCCAAGTACAGTACTTTCTTATTTTCCTACTGAGTTCTCTTTTTCTCCAGATAAAACCTGTCATCAATTGTTCTTGTCATTTTCTGGTTTTTTGGTGGTACTAGGGTTTGACTTCAGGGCTTCCTGCTTGAGCCACAACTCCAACTCTTTTTGCTTGGGTTATTTTGGAAATAGGGTCTCGCTTTTTGCCTAAGCCAGTTTGGACAACAATTCTACCCACCAATACTGGATGACAGGTATGCCCAGCTATTGGTTGAGATGGGTTTTTTGCCATGAACCTTGCTCCTTCCAAGTAGCTAGGATTATAACCATCATCACCCAGCATGTCATCAGTTTTAAATGTTCCAAATAGCTAAAGTTGATCCTCCATGAACTTGATGGAGATATTAAACAGAAATCTTCAATTCTGAGTAGCCAATCAAATCAACCCTTTTCAAGTCTGGTGCCGGTGGCTTATCCCTGTAATCCTAGCTACTCAGGAGGCAGAGATCAGGAGGATTGGGGTTTGAAGCCAGCCTGGGCAAATAGTTCAAGAGATCCTATCTCAAAAAAAAAAAAAAAAATCACGAGAAAAAGGGGCTGGTGGAGTGGCTTAAGCAGTAGAGCCCCTGCCTAGCAAACACAAGGCCCTGAGTTCAAACCCCAGTACAGCCAAAAAGAAAAATCAAAGCAGTCATGGTGGTTCATACCTGTAATCTCAGCATTTGGAAGGCTGAGGCAGGAGGAGCACAGGGCCAGCCTAGGCCACATAGCCAGACCTTGTTTCAGAAAAAAAAAAGAAAAGAAAGAAACTATGGCAACATTTCCTCTGTGAACAGTCCCCTTTCCTGTGCCCTCCACTCCTCTCATTCTATCCCATGGAGCTTGCCACTTTTTTTTGGTGGAACTGGGGTTCCACCCCAGTTCCACCAAAATGCTTGCAAAGCAGGCATTCTACTGCTTGAGCCACACCTCCAGTCCATTTTGCTCTGGTTATTTTGGAGATGGAGTCTCTCCAAATATTTGCCTTGGCTGGCCTCAAATCTCCATCCTCCCAATTTTAGCCTCCCAAGTAGCTGGGATTACAGGCACAAACCACCAATACCTGGAAGATCCAGATCTTCCACCTTTTTTTTTTTTTCCCCCTTTGGTACTGGGGCTTAAACTCAGGACCTTCACCTTGAACCATTCCACCAGCCCTATTTTTTGTGATAGGGTCTTTTGAACTATTTGTCCAGCCTAGCTTTGAACTGTGATCCTCCTGATCTCTGCTTCCTGATCACCCAGCTTTGATCTTCCACTTTTAACCACAATGTCTCTGGTCCAGCACCGTTGGTCTCTTCTACCCCAACCTGCTGCCCAGCCTGGCCCTCTGGCTATTGAGATGGCTGTCCCTGCAGGCTCTCCACAGTGCCTAGGCTGTTCTCTGCCTGCAACTCTGGAGCTTTCTCCCTCCTGAAAAGGTGTAGGGACCACAGTTCCCCAGGGAGGTCCCGTGAGCACTCCCTAAGTGGCTTTTGCCTTTCCCACCATATAGCTCTAGCACATTGTCTACTTCAAGTTGTCTGTCTCCTCTATGGTGATGGGAACCATCATGTTTCACGGGTTGCTACAATTCACCCTCCCCACAGCATCCCAGCTGCTATCTTGGAGATAGTAGGAAATGGGATGGGCAGAAGCACTAAGCGCCAGTAGCTCACCCCTGTAATCCTGCCTACTTAAGGGATTGCTAGGCAAATAGTGTTAGATAACCCATCTCCAAAATAACCAGAGCAAAATGGACTTGAGGTGTGGTTCAAATGGTAGAACACCTGCTTTGCAAGCATGATCCCCTGAGTTCTAAACCTCAGTTCAAAAAAAAGCCTAAAAAATAAATAAAAATAAATAAAGGTGCTTGGACATTAATTTTTTAAAGAGTGGTCCCTGTTCATATTTGCATTGGAGATAAATCACTAAATGCTGTGGCTTGGATGAATATGGGAGGCATATGTATGAATGGAGGGCGGTGAATTAGTAGAAGGGGAAAATAAAAATGATGAAGGCCAGATATATTTAGGACATAAAATTATCAGTGCCCCATTTATAAATAACACAATGTATCCCCCTGTACAACTATTATATGCTATTAAATTTTTTAAAATATCAGGGACCACAAAAGAATTCATTTGTATTTCTTTTTGTGACTAAATATGCAAATCTAGAATTAGGCTTTGCTCATTACTTGTCAAAATGTAGCAAGTAAGATGTGAAATGAATGGTTGAACTCGATTGTGCTTACTTTGTAACTTTTCTGTTTCACATCTTCCTATGTTGGAGAAACTCATTCAGATGTTTTTTGTTTTAAATGCCCT